TAGATAATTTAATTTTCCGATTGCACGAAACTGGTTTATTTTTTTACTGGAATGGTATGGTATTCTACGATCTTGTAGCAATGGGACACATTTCTATCGAAGACTTAAGCGAATCATACAAGCAACGGCATTTAGTTTTAAGCGATTTTTATTATATTTGGATAGTTTATGATGTAGCTATGTTCATATGTATAATAGTGTTTTTATTGGAAATTTTTTTCTGCAAATTAAATAATAAATAATTATTAAAAATTAATAATTGTTTCTATATTTCTTAATTAAAAAATGTAACAACTAATGTGTATTTATTTTATACAACATATTAACGACGTATTTTTGTATTTTGCTCCATTTAATAGATGTTTTTTTTATATGTATTCTGTCACATAACATGGTGACATTTTACAATTTTTTAATAAAGACTAAGTCATGATCATTTACAATTAAGATAGTTCTCCCTGTAGAGAGCTACTCTTTTCTTTTTAAATTAAGAATTTTATTATAATATCTGAAGCGGCGTTTTCCTTTTCAGTCTCGTAAAAATTGTTGACGGGGGATATTAAATTCGAAGCAAAGATGTTGGGATGAATTTGTATTTGTTCATTTTCTAGCTACCTTTTTTACTTCGTCTCTTACAGGGATTATCCTAAGGTCCCGATGAATTTGAATGTTAGTTACATACCATAGAGTATTTACCATTTCTCGTAAAGTTTTAGGCTAAAATCTTTGAAAAATGTCTATGTTGGATGTTGAGACTGTTCCCCATAGTTGAATGCCATAGGTCCATACTAATTTTAGCACACTTTTATATAAAATCTGTTTATTTTTTAGAGCTACTAAAGATTTTTTATTCAGTAGCCAAAACATTTTTCTGTATTGAATCCCAAGGGATTTTCTTTTGTTAAATTTGTGTGTTTTCTATGTCAGACGTCTATCTAAGTGCATCCACAGTTTGATTGCGGAATTATTATTATTATTAAGTTTAATTTCTGAGCAGGCATCTTTCCTCATTGTGAATGTAACATGAGTAGATTTTGTTTCATTTGTTTTCATGCGCCAATGTTGCAACTATTTTGATATACGATCAAGACCAGCTTGTAATTTGAAAGAAGCTACAGAGGGATCGTTTGCACTCGCCAGGATAAATGTGTCATCTGCAAATGTAGCGGTTACAATTCATACCCTCTTCAGTAAATCGTATGTGAAAAGCAGATAAAGGGTTGGACCGAGTATGCTGCCTTGCGGTACTCCAGCTCTAATATCATGTAGAGAAGACATTTCATTCTCATTGTTGACATAAAAGAATCTTTTTAATAGATACGATTTTATGAACATATAAATAGTTAAGTGGCAAAAGCTTTTTACATTTGAAAAGAAGTGCTTGGTGCCATACGCGATCAAACGCTTGAGATATGTCCACAAACGCTGCTGAGCAATATTCTTTTCACTCGAAAGTGGTCTGTATTTTTTCAACAATTCTATGAATTTGCTCAATGGTTGAGTGTTTTCTTCTGAATCCCAATTGGTGATTCGGAGTTATTCGTTTCGACGTTTTAAAAATAGTCTCTCAAGAACTTTTAAAAGAATGGAAAAGAGACTTACTGAACGACAGGATTTTACATCTTCAGCTGGTTTTAGTATCATCTTTATTTCTGCATCTTTCCATTGAGCTGAGATGCAACTTTTTAATAAGGATGCATTTAAAAGATGGGTAATAAATATTAAAGCAAAATCTGGAAGTTTTTTAAGAATTTCAGCAGTTATGAGGTCATAACCAGGTGCCTTTTGATTTTTAAGAGATTTAATTGTAGAAATTATTTTTATAGATGTGAAGTAAAATCAATCTAAAATCTGCTGTAGATACTACCAGACAAGAATAAAACAATAAGTTAACTCTATACACTATGCTTCTCAGAATACTTTAGAACTTTAGCAATATATATTAAATAATATTTATTTCTGTAAATTTTACCTACAAATAATCGTTATCTTATCTTTAATTTTTTTACTATCTTAAATACCATCTTCCTAACAGTTTTAACAATATCCTGCATATTAAAATATAATATTATTGTATTGTTTAAATATATGAGATTGAAACGCTCAGCTACTAATTGAATTTTTGCGATACCATTAATTGTTTATTTTTTACAATTTTTTTTATTTAAATACCCATATCGTATCAGAGAAATCGGATAGGTGATCTGCAGTAGTTAGATAAGGATATAGCAAATCGCTACAATCAATGGTTTGGGTTATATGACTTATTTTATTATTTAGTTTGCGGAATAAGTTTGAAACCGTTTATAATTTGCTACGACACTAACTAGTATTGAGGTAGAGTATCTGTACAGTTAGTTTAGAGGACGGATTTATGCACCAAAGCTCACTTGAGTTCGAATACTACGGATAAACGTTGCTTATACACCAGACTAGAAAGACTAAAAGATAAAAACACCGATATAGTCAGCAAAGCCGTTACCATGATGAAAGTCATTATAGAATAATGTGATTGCATGCCTACCTAACTAACTGTCAACGTCGGAATTTCAATAGTGAACAAGTTCTGTTAAGTTACATCCTCCAGATCATTGATATGATCGGGGTAATGTTTGTCTGTTTGCACAAAAATTAATAATTTGAGAGATTAAAAAACTAAATGGCCAATGAAATGAAATTGTGTGTTGCTTTAATCGTAATAATGTTAAATCAAAATCGATTTGAAACAAAAGCAATTAGCTAAGTAGAAATTAATAAAACTTAAAGTAAGTTTTGGAAGTTTTATTACTTTAGTGATTGGATGATGAAAATAAAGAATAGGAATTCAAAAAATTATAAAAAAAATACTTGGTAATATATGAAAGTAAATAATCCATTAAAACATTTGAAATTTTGGATAATTATTTAATTTTAATGCCAAAACGATAATTCTATATAAGATACAATGGAGTTTGCATTACTATAATATATAGAAAGTACGCATACTCATTAGCAGAGAAGACTGGACCCTTGGAAGAGTATCTACCCCTAATACAATAGATATCTACACAGATGGCTCCAAAATAGACAAACGAGTCGGCTGTGGCATTTTCTCGGAAAGATTAGGTCTTAGTGTCTCGCTTCGACTACCTAACTACTGTAGTGTTTTCCAAGCAGAAGTAATGGCTATCCATTATGTTGTAAAATGGATCCTCGACAATTGTACCTCTGTAGAAAGTTATTCGATTTTCTCGGATAGTCAGGCTGCCGTTAAATCACTGGTAAGCACCTCAGTCTCATCAATTATTACGCAAAATTGCCGTGTTTCTCTCAATGACCTAGCTATGTGTGCTAACGTTCAACTTATCTGGGTTCCTGGTCATAGGGATATTGCGGGTAACTGCAGGGTGGACGAGCTTGCCAAGACGGGGGCTCTTCTCCCTGATATTCATTTATTAGAAATTGGTGTTCCACTTGCAACAGCTAAACTGGCAATTAAACAAAAATATCTAAGCATTGCTCAGCAACAATGGGTAAGTGAGCCCAGTTGTCACATTTCTAGGTCGATCTGGTCTAACTTGGATAAAAAGCGTACAAGTCAGCTGCTCCAACTAAAGAGAGATCTGCTCAGTGCTACGGTATCGGTGCTGACGGGTCATTGTTTAATAGGGAGGCATGCTATGAGACTGGGTCTTCCTTATAATGACCTTTGTCGCGGTTGTGGCTCTGAGGACGAGGAGGAAACTGTGTTTCATCTCATGTGTCAGTGCCCATCTTTAGCCAGAAGAAGATCAAAAATCTTGGGGGCCCCTTTTCTGACCGATCTGACTGATCTGTCATCCTACAATGTGAGGGACCTAGCTAGATTCATAGAACTGTAGGGCTGGTTTTCTTTCACCTAATGGGGAAGTCGTTGCCTCTCTGTTGGGCGTTGGTCGTATACTGATCACCTTATCTATATACGAACATCGCTCTTTCCTTGTGGTACCACAACGGGCCATTATTTGTGCTTAAGTGGGCTTTTTCTTGGTAAACAGGGCCGCCACTCCAACCAACCAACCAACCAACGCATACTCATTGTGAGACTATTTGGCGTACTTGACGTTCAAGACATGATAGACCAACTTCCCTACTCACGCTACCATTGCCTAGGATGTCTTCTTTAGAAGCAAAACCACACATTTTTTTCTTACTAGAGTCAGAAAACATTCAAATTGTAGAAAGTACCATATTTAATCAAGAACATACAGTTTATATATTGTAGTATAATGTGAAAAATATTGTCTTAATTAAGCGTATAATATTTCTAGTAAATTAAATGTGGTGTCCAACATTTTCAAACGCTTGTATAACATAACACCAAAAATAATATCCACTATTTGATATTCATCACTTCGATATAAATAAGCTCTTATAGTCTTGTCGGTCAATATATGCCCTACAGATTATATAAGACTCCGTCAGCCTCTAACACGTTGCTAATCACTCCAAAGGTAAGAAACTTTTGTAAACCTCATTTACTAAATATCCTTCAAAAGTATCAAATAATATTGTATTATATATAAAAATATTTTATTTTATTTATTTATATTGCAAAGATAACATCTAATTGAATTTATGTGACTTCAGAATTTTATTGACAAAATGCGACAAATTTTGTCTGCAATTTATTTGTTTAAACTGAAGAAAGTGGTCATCGACCGTCTTCGATGGCGTCAAATTTCGTGTACTAAAGCAGACACGTGTTTTTTTTATATGAAAAATGCTTTATATTTTATTGTTTGGATTAATTTAATTTCATTTTTCGTTGAAACACAATGTAGTTGATATTTCACATGTAAAATACCGACTAGACGTTATTTATTCAACTGATTAATTAAAAGCAGTAAAATCAAAATAGTTTCATCTGTAATAGAAGAAATGGTTTAGCTTTTGTAATAAATTTAAGTTTTCTATAAATATAAGAAGTTGTGATGAAATGCAAAAAGTGTTACATACAATTTAAAAGCATTTTCAGTAACATGTTTGTCTATCATCATTTTGTGGTTTTACTTTTTATAACTGCAATTAATGCAAATATTGAAGTGGATAATGAAACTGTAGACTTCACCTGTGAATTTCATAGTTTAATAAGGGGTATTTATGCCGAAAGATCTTACAAAACAATCTTCCTACAAACACGAAGCGCTGAGGATTGCATTGATGAGCATTTGTTGCGTTATTGGCCGGTGCCAATCATTAATTTGGGTGCTGAGGAAACTATGTACTTAAAGAATAACTACAATTCTGAAATGCTGGCTATAATGTGTCTTGCTACACTAAATGACCTCAATTTATTGGATCTGTTGAGTTTTAATCTTAATCACTTACGCACAGTGCGAATAATTGTGATTGTGAATCAGGAATTTATAGAAAAACTACAACTTAAAAAATTGGAAATATTTTTAAAATACTGCGAAACATTGAAAATATTAAATATCAATATCATTTTTAATGATTTTTATAGGACAAGCATTTATTACACTTACACACCATTTCCATCCTTCGAACTGGAGCAACATAAGCTAACAAGTGCAGCCAAGTTTTTTATTAATCGTCTAACAAATCTGAAAGGCAAGATATTGCTTACATTACCCGATTTGTTTGAGCCACGCACTATATTGTACACCGATAAATCAGGCCAGCAGAAAATTGGTGGCTATATTGGCAAATTTATGCATTACTTTGCTGCATACTACAATTGCACTCTACAATTTGCTTACAATATTACACCGCATAATGTTTATCACAATTCCGAACTGTTACTAACTGCACGTAATGAGACAGTGGATATACCCATCAGTCTCATATCAGCCCAGAAGGGCTTTAATATCAACGAGTTCAGTTATCCAGTTGAAATTGGTAAACTGCTGACGATGATACCAGTTGAACCCCCAGTACCTACAAATATGATATTACTACAAATATTTAATCTTAAGACAAATCTTTGTCTTTTTGTTATTCATTGGTTGTTATCACTGCTATTAACACTACAAACTTCAAAACAACGTTTGACTAAGAAAAACAGGTGTAAATTTCTTCTCCAAATTATATTCAATACAACAATAATGCGTGGCATGATCGGTCAATCTTTCAATATGGAAAGCAAACCGAAATTGCATCTAAAATTCGTTTATTTTTTACTTTTTTTTACTGGTATCTTTTTTAGTACTGCTTTTACTGCCAAACTAACAATGCTGCTCACGGATCCACCCACAGTAGAAAAGATTCACAGTTTTGACGATGTCCGCGCTCTAAATATGAAAATAATGGTTTGTGAACAAGACATACCACGTATTACATACTACGCTGGCGAAACCTTTTGGCAAAATTATAAGCCCATCTTCAAAATCGTCAAAACTTTTAATGAGTTTCAGTCTTATAGGCAGGCTTTGAATACTAAATATGCATATTTGATATCTTTGACGGTTTGGCCAGTTTTCGAGGAACAACAGAATTATTTTGCTACAAAATTATTTCGTCTTTCTACCGATCTCTCCTTTACAAATTTCATACTATACGCTTTTGCTGTACAGGAGAACTCATTTTACAAAGAACCTCTCAGACAATTCTGTGTCCTTGTGCAGGAAACTGGAATTTATCAACATTGGTATGCTATGAGTTTCTACGAAATGGTCAAACTAGAAAAAATTAATTTTGTGGATCTTAGTGGCGGATATGAACAACACTCGTTAAAATTTAAGGATTTTAAATGGATTTGGTTGACATATATCCTCTTCATGAGTATTAGTTTACTTATATTTTGTGCTGAAATAACTTGGAAACACAAATTTTAAGTATGTAGGGTACATAATATATTAAAGAATTTACATTTTAACTAAACTTTTAGAAATCTGATCAAACTCTATGTCTGATGAAATTTGATCAAACTCTATGTAAAGCAAAGCAATGTTATTTTTAATTCAAAAAATGCATAAACACTGTTTGTCTTGTTTTTGGTTAAATAAAAAAAATTAAATTTATAGATATTTTTAATTAATTTTCTGTTCGATTTCTTGTAATGTATTTTTTGAGTGGTTCAGTGTTCAATTCCTCATGAAGATATCGCTAGGTCGCTAGGAAATATAACATACTATATATGCGAAGTTTTTGGTTTTTTATCGTGATAGATATGTAATGAATTAGACTTCCGTTCATTCATAATTGTAACCCATTTCGATTATATGCGTTCTTAATACAATTATTTTACCATCAATCGTACATAACTAATAACTAAATCTATTCGGTTACCACAAAATTTATATAATTATCATCATATCCAATTTATGGAGATAGCTGCGAAATAATGTATAATCATGAGTTATATGAATTATATGGCGAATACGATATCACAACCGATTTAAAAATATCTTCACTGTAATGAGGCGTAGATTTAACCATAAGAGATATGGCACTAAATCGTGTCAAATAGAAAAACAGACAGTAGATAAATGGCGCCAACGAAAACGCAACAAAAGAAAACGCTTATAATTAATGAAATTGGATGAGATGTACGATAATTATCAAAACAAATACTTGAAACCACTTCTAAAATTGACATTCATTGGTAGAATATAGATATAAATCATTCTTAAAAAGAACTTTTTAAAAAGCAAATATTCTTAGTTTACGACTAAGAATTGTCAAAATTGATTTGATAGCAAATTCCATTCAAATACAAAAGGAATGAAAATTATTCTAATACTCTTATTTAGTATTTATGGATTTTTGCATATATTTACATACTTATAATTTTTAGTATTAATTATTGTTAATATGTATAACACTGTCCTCCTTGGTAGAGCATAGAGTCTCCGTCATCAATGCAAATCTAGCTCTGTTATAAGAAAAGTGAATAATATAACGATATTTGCATTAGACTGTCTCCTCTCTAAGTCAAGGCCGGCACACCAAAGTGGGTCTCACCTCAGTGCCTATCGAGAAATACTACTATTCGGCCTCTTGTGAGTATGTCCTTACCTATTTGCTATTCTATATTTCTTATGTTACTCTAGTTGAGGCCAATAAAAATATATCAAATATTATTTGAAAAGTCTGAATTTTTGACTAGATTGCACTGGTCTCTTTTGTGTTTTTCTTCCAAAAATAGAGCTGATTTTATGTTTATATTGAATATGCCGATTTTTGTAATGGTAGATATATGGCTGCAAATCTTTTTAAGTTAAATAAAAGCAACTCTAACTTTATTTATTCTGGCAATGACGTCCTTTTATGCATGACTTTTATTTGTTATGTTGCTTCCGAGGTAATATATTGATTGCTTACATTCTAGATTCGCCGTTTACTATCAAATCAAGTAATCATTGTTAGTCAATTTATTCTTCTTCTTCTTGTTCTTGAGTCAGTGCTATTACGCACTTTTACTCTATAATGGCTGGGGGGCTTATCACTATCCCACACTAGGCTTTAACTAGGCTAAGAAATCATATCATTTATTTGTCTTTTAGTTTATGATGGACCTTAAATCAGCATATCTTCCTGAGAATCCAAAAGTGGACTTGAGGATTGTTAGGGCGGGGTTAATTAGCGTATCAACTTTAGTGAATAATTTTAGAGCTCAGTCTCTGATATATTTTTTCACTGAGTCAATCCTAAGATCTCTATGTATGTCTGTTGATCTAATATACCATGGAATCTTAAACAGTCTTCTTAAAGCCAGGTTTTGAGCTATCTGTAATTGCTTTAAGGTAGTCAATTTATATATTTTTTTAAGTTACTATACATACAATTTTACATTACCTTTAACTTTTAGTAGAAAATTTATTAAATCAATATAATTTTGCTTTTCATATACTATACAAGGGGCCACACGCAACGAATCAATTGACATTGGTGCAAATTTAAGCGGAAAACAATATGACCTCAACCGATTCGCTAACACACCCAATTCCAAAAATTCAAATTGTGCCGTAGGCACGATTCAAATGCAAATTCCATAAGAAACCAGTTAAGCATTATCGATTTCAAGTTCGTAATTTGGGTAAGTAAGTGCAACACATGCATATGCATTTCTGCCGCTTAGTCTGTCTACTTCAAGTTGCATTTCGGATAACAACATTTACATTAGCAGCAATATTTTTCTTCTCTTATCTTGTTACCCGTAGCTAGCAATGAGGTCTGAGGTGCATAAGTTTTGGGACAGTCTCTAAATGTAAGAGAATATGCAAATTCATTTCTTTTACTTTTCCTTATTATTTTATTATCAAATTTTGTCTTATTTCTCCAGCTTATTTATGTGCGTCTTGTTTATGCTCGTATATGCGACTTAATAAAATATCTTATAACACCAACTACACAGGAAGGAGCCTGAATTTCTAGTTTTCGTATTTGGCTAACAAGACTCATAGACAAAGTTCAATTGCGGCGCAGTGCCTATTCCCCATATTTTCTAGTAAAGAGGCTAAGCATTTTGGCGCAGATATAAATCAAATTTTACGGTACTTTAATCCTACGATGAATATCAATCATATTGTTCCACTTAGTACACGCGAATCGCTTACACAATCCTGTCTAATTATTAAGAATAAACAAATTAGTCAAATAAAAAATACATGATGTGTTGCTTGTATAATTTTTTTTAATATGAAAATGGAAGATGTAAATAAAGAGCATTTCTTTAATGCAAGTATTAGACTTTTTAAGTTTAAAAAGTTTTAAATGTTTCGGTTTTATAAAATCACACTTATAAGTTTTACGCTAACGTTAAGGCATGAAGTCCTTTGTTTTAGATTTGTTTCAGTATCTTGATTGTTCAAAACTCAAAAATATTGAAATATACGAGGGCGGTTTGATAGGGCAGTGACTTTTTAAATTTCCCGCGCAATTACTCGAAATGCAACAGTGCTGTCGTCAACTGTAATCTACCAGTGG